GTTACTGTATGTCAATACTAACTTCGAGGTTTGACGATATCGTGTGTTCACGTTTCGTACGTAAGTTTACAAACTAATCTAAGGTTCATGAATATTGTTCGAATAGGCAATAGATACGGCGAGCAATAAGCGAAAGTAATGTTCCAATATAGATGGATTTTAGTGTATAAACTCTTTGCAAATGCACAGTGGAAAACTTACACAGTTTCTTACATATGAGTAGTTAATTTTCTCAGGTGTAAAGTAATAAAAACGTCACGCGTCCTAGAGACACAATGGTATCTTTAACTTTTGATACTGTAGCGTCCAAGAGTCACACAGTAATTCTAACGCGCACCTGTATTTTCACTACTATTTTTTTTATAAATTTGTCAAGCAATAAACGAAAGAAATTTTCTAATATACATAGATGCAAATTAGGGTACAAACTCTTTGCAAACGCACAGTGGAAAACTTACGCAGTTTCTTATATATGAGTAGTTAATTTTTTCGGGTGTAAATTAATAAAAACGTTACGCGTCCTAAAGACACGTCGCGTCTCTAACAATTTTGATACTGTAGCGTCCAAGAGTCACACGGTTTTTTAACGCGCAGCTGTGCAGCACAATTTTTTTATTAATTTATTAAAAAAATATATAAAAGAAAGTTATTATCTATAAGTTAATGTTTTAGTCGAGTTAGTAGGTTTTACGACTTGCATGGGAATTCCGAATGTGGTACTTGATTACAGGCAATAACAATGAGTACTATTTTATATTCTCCTTAGTGGTATTCCCCTTATAAACTTACACATATGGAGTGAGTTCATGGATTAATTGTGCACATGAATGAATTTAATTGAACCGGAAATTGTATAATCTCCCTTTGTGCCGTTGAAAGCAATTATAGGATAAATCTAGCAATGACTTGTCGTCCTCCTATAAAATTTAAAGATCCACTACCTTTTCAAGACACTTGGTATGTGTATGACCGTTGATTATACACACAAACAAGGTTTATCTTTAAGTGATTCTTTAAGGCGTCATTTCTGTATGGTTTCAAATGGTAATTTACATTCTGCAAGGCATTATTGTCTCATTCCAAAATGATACCTCAATGGTGATTACTGTTATTTCTAAGTTTAGGCTATTATAAATATTTAATTTAGCAGCTGGGTCTTATAAAATAGCTTTCTCCCTGATTTACAGATATTAATTAAACCAATTTATTTTATGCTAAAAGATCTAACAGCTATACCATACAGTTCTCAACTTATATTACGCAGCATTTTTGAGAGGGGTCTCTATTTGAGCATAATCCACTATCATAACTATGTGTGACATAAAGCAGCCTTGAGGTTTGTAACCTATTATTTGAGGGCCCCCAATGAGCCTCCAGTGTCGACCAGTGGTCGGAATATATTGTTTCAAATGAGTACATAAATGTGTACATATAGATACAAAGAGTGACATGGAGTCGTTAAAATCATCATATTAAGTAATAACTTTTTTCGAATTTCAAATTTTTAGAAATAGTTTTACTGCTATGTTAGATAAAGTTACTCACCTAGGATGTTGAAGTTGGATTTTAAATAATTTAAGTGGCGCCATGTAAAAAAAATGAAGTAGATGGCTAACTTTTCAACCAAGTAAACAATTTTTTTGAGCTGCAAGCAATATATTGTTTTAACTGCTATGCTATGAGTGTGTACACGTTTTGTTTCGGAATGGGAGGTCAGGAGGACTAGAATGAGTTAAACACTCGCACACAAGACCAAAAACGATACATAGGTAAACAACATAGAACTAATGTGTTGTTGAATGAAATAAATGTTGTTTCAAAAAAGACCTGTGGAGTAATTTCGTTTATACATATTCTTGAAAAGGCTAACTCGGTTTCAAAGTATTATACAAAGAGCCCTTGACAAATCTGCAATTAGTACCATACTTTCATAACGATATTTAAACAAAATGAATTCTTGAAACACTTGGAACAGCTGGTATTGTGTGCCTCTACAATATTATCTTTGCATAGGAATTTTAATTTGACTACGCTGTGAATTTCTCTGACGCGTCACGTAGCTATTATACTTGCTGTTGCTAAGTGATAAAATATTTCTTAATAATAAGTTGGGTAACAACTTAGTTACTGTTACCACCACCTTCTGCCGCCAAGCAGTAATGTGAGCGCTACTATGTTCCGGCTGTGAAAGGTTGCGGGTGCTGGTGAAATTATAGGCACATGGGACTTATCAACGCATGTTTTAGGGTGCCGATCGCAGTGTAAATTTTAATATTATTATTATTATTATTTAAAGCTCTGAGCGACACACGTCTTGTTCATCCAGTCACTTCGAATAAAAGAGAACTCATTCACTCTATGTACTTCATAAGCCTTATGTTTCAGAAAATTCGAATTAAATTGTAATTTCGGAGAGGAATTCCATTATTAACGCATATAAAGTTCAAGTAGTGAATAATACGATTGTCTAAATTATGTAGCTGACTATTCTAAGGCACAAAATTCTATAGCAATTCAACTCATTAACATTTAAGTAGCTATACGTGTACTTGACTTGCCTTTGTACGAAGAGGTCAAGTAATTCACGAAGCAACACCAAGAACATAGTAATGAAATCTCTGCAATAAATATTCATTTCGGTCGTTCGACTCTCAAATTAAGTAACAAATCCCCCGAATCACGGTCTTTTCATTTGGGCTCACGTATCGTCGTTTCAACGGAGCGTCCAGACCCAAAAAAGGCACGATTCAAATATTTCTTTCTCTCGCCTGGATCAGTGTACTTGATGCCAGATTTGTTTGGTTTGTAACAAAAATAGAAAGTAAGTGAATACCCACAGTATACATTTTTACTTGTTAAATATTGTACAAGTAATAATGTACTCCCTAACTTGAGTTAGCTATTTGTTGTCGTTGTTTGGTACAACAACACAAAAGACGTGAAATAGACAATGTGCGGTGATAAACATCACCGCAGTTAATTTAATAACAGTTGCCGTAAAACCGTCGTTTGTCAATAAAAACGGGTAAACGACAAACCTAACGTGAAGGATATTGATACCATTTGTTGTAACGGCCTATCTGCCACATTGATGGAAAAATACATGCGTTAAAAAAAAAAATTTAGGCATCGGTTCGTTACATGCCGCAGATATTAAACGCTACGATCTTCACAAGATCGTAAATTATAACATAATCATAGCAAGTGATAAATCGAATGTCAATTTATAATAATAAACTAACACCTGCTCCATTAAGGTAGCTACAATTACTCTACGGGAAAGAACATAATTGCCCCCAAAAGTAATTAATGGTCTACTTACGCAAGTTGATTAATTAATCACTGAGCGTTTACCTCCTGCAACTGAAGGAAAACACTATCACTCCGACAATAGACATGTAAGTACGTCAAAGAAGTTTAAGATTTGTGTTTTTTTAAGAAATGTAAGAATGTTAGAGATGGAAGCTAATTTGATTTGGTAGTGGTATTGAAAATTACTGGAAATAAGAGCGTGTCTATCTAAACACGATTAATCACATAAGCGTGACAGCAATGATGAATTAGTGCATAGCATCTGTTCATAATTTGTTTTCTCTCGAAGTCGACACTACCTAGTAGAATAGCAAATTTGTGTCGTTAAAATGAGTCGTTACACTTTTCGAATCTGATTTGTTAAACTCAATTTACGTATTTGATGTTGGGCACATCATCATAAAATACTCCTTTAGTAAATTTATGTGATTAAATTCAACAACTTCAAAGATTTCGCTTAACCCATTGTATTCCCCAATTATATTACAAATTATGCTACAGCAGCAATTTCCTCATAAACAACATTATTAATATTGAATCACACTTAAACTTCGTCTGCGTTGTAACACAGATGTTTTTATTTTAAATACATTTTATTTTAAATGTTTAAATATTATTCATTCCAATTTGAGAAAATTGTTCCTGTTCTGTAAAATTATTCAATCAAATAGAGCGAGCCATTCAGCACCTGGTCGTTTAGACCTAAAATGGGCACGTTCTGATTAATGTGTATTTCGATGGATAAAATTTGATAGATGTGATGCGAAACAGGTCTCTGAGTGTATCGGCATTTAGATATAATGGTATACGCCTAATTATTTTTTTTTTAATATTGTAACTCCATGATGTAATAAAGTACGATCGACGTCAGATTTCAAAGATTTCACAATCTATTTAAAATTATTTAAAAAACGCAATCCACTGTCACGATCCGCATTAAGAAAGCAATTTTCAGGAAGAATGGCTTCGTTTGGATACTTTCATGCATATGTAATAGACTTCCAATGAAATGTAAGTATACTGCGGCAAGTTAAGTTCGCCATTCATTTGAATTAACGCAGATTGCTTCTTTGGTGACAACAAACACCATCCATGTAATGAGATGTCCATATCGGATTGATCTTGATAAGCTGTTACGTTTTAGACTCAACTGAAGGCCTTTGATAAGCGGGTTGTCTGGAACGATGTAAAAGTAATTCCGCTTGTCTTTTCCATTATTTTTTGTTCTTTTTCGTTTCCATGACTGTATTCTTTTGTTTTCTGTGCACATTGTTACACGTTTCATTTGCTTAATTTATTTCCCTCTATAGGAATTTATTTGCCTTACACTTGTTGATAATTTTTTATAAAAGCGGGAGTCATTGCTTGTAAAATTGTTTGTAGTGATCGATACTGATTCATCCATCAGTTCTAGTGACACAATATACAACGCTACCGTTTAGAGATCCGATCTGTCCTCACTACGAAAATAAACATTGAAACGAGCACTTAAATATTTGTTTGTTGTCCAAATAGTCGAGCGGGTGGACTATTTAAATTTAGAAATTATTGTGAACTTTAGCAGGAAAGATTGGGAAGGCTTTGGGTATAGTTGTTTTTTTTTGAATGATTGTTCGAGCGGTTCCGATGGTGATGAAGGATTGAGGAGATGTGTTGATCTAGTCAAGGTAAGGTATAGGTTTGTTTACCTTAGGGTGAGTAGCGAGATGGGGTAGAGGCGGACGCGGGCGCGGAGAGGCCGCGGGGCGCGTGTGTCCGCGCTTGCCAACCGACTGTAACTGCCGGCGCGGTTGCCGCACCACACCGTCCGGCTGCGCTTATCGGCCGCCGCTCCACTATGCACCCGCCATGCGATAACGATTTTAAATCCCTTAATTCGATCATTAAACGAGATCTGCATCGAATGAGATACAATCATCGCTTGATTAGATTTGCCGCTAGTCAACCGCAACTTGGGTACAATGCAATCTCAGACAATAATAGTCTTTCGGACACGACAAGCACATTACTGAGACAGCGCAGCTACTGCATATTGATCGTTACAAGACAAAAGTACATACTTTCGTGTGAAACATTTTTTAATAAACTGATTAAAGATCTTTTCAACTTTCATTATAAGTACACCGAATAACAAAAATAGAATAAAATGGGAATTTTTTCCTCAAAGTAACAAACATTATTTATGTTCTTGATGGTGATTATTACTCACTAATGCGTACCACAGGTTTCTTACCACGGTATGTCTTTATTTTACCCGTGTTTCGTAACGGTTACACGCTTCATATTATGAAATGACTGCTGGAAAAATAATGAAAAGTCATGCCATGGTAAACAACGTGTAACTAGTGACAATCATACAAGTTAGTGCTTTATTAGGAGAGCTCAGGGGCCGTAAACGTTTGAAAATAGATCAAAAGGTTTTTAAATAAGTATGCACATTTTTCTTTTCACCTTGAAGCTTAGAGTGATGTTTTCTTGAACGTAATTTTTTTACCTTTAGACTGAAATTTGAGTAACTTACGTTAGAATTTGTCATTATTTCACTCGCAGAAAAACCTACACATAATAATAAATATCACAGCTATATGAGAACTCGCCAGAATGGGAAATTCTTTTTTGTTGTCGGAAAGTAATAAATCCCAGAAACATGCTCATTCCGTGCTGGTTGGTATATACAAGGAGTTTTTACCTTTGGTTATCACTTTTTGAGCCACACTATATTCTTACGTCATCATAAATTGTGGGTGAAGTAACTTTGACACATAAATATAAAAAAGGATCTATGTATATTTCTTATTTTTTTCCATCCTTTAAGGTATATTTAGTGTTCGATTCGAAAAAAGTTGAAATATAACACAATTCTTTTTTTTAAACAATTGCAAATTTTTTATCTTATTTTTTAAGGATCTTTCATCCGATGAATTATATAGATATACAGTGTTTTTTTAATGGGACATCATGGAAAAATCCGAAATCATAGAAGATACAATGAAACTGTCTTAGGAACCATTAAATTTTTTCCTGTGGAAACAATTTTAGCACAGTCAATTTTTGGTCAAGCATGCGTTGTCCATAAAAATTAATAAAATTTATCAAATTTTTTTTTGTTTCGTTCGTTTTTCCTGTAAGGATCATTTCATTTTATGGGATGAACGAAATCCGGACAGCAAAAGTTGGTCAAATTTACTAAAAATATTTTAATCGTGGTTGTCTGGCACATTATTATTACACCTCATATTGGCTAAGCAATATAAGGTGTAGTACGACGTAGAGAAAGAAACTTCGAGATAAGAGTACTAAGTAACTTATAGTTCCCCGATAATCTTATTTAAGAGCTATAATGAACCAGCGGCATTTAGGAAGCTGTAAACATGAAGCTCGCCGTGACCTTTACAGCTTTCAAACATTCACGTAACAAAATGACGACAATTATGAAGTAACGTGAAGGTTAATTTATTAATAACTACACGTGGAAATTTGTTCTGAGATTTGTGTCTGCCCATTTTAGGGTATTGGGTTCCGTTGAGATATCTTTACATTATCTGAAGAATGAGAATAATAATAATTTTAAAAGTCTTAATTATAGTGTAACTTCTAGGTACAGCTCTCCTCTCATAATGAAAGGGCTTGGGCTGCAAGAGCCCCCCCAGGCCCATTGAGGATTGGAAACGTCACTTCATTAATACTTCGCAGATGTGTGCAGTTTTCTACACCGTGTTCTCCTTCGCCGAAAATCTCATGGTAAATTTCAAATTGAACACATAAATTCCGAAAAACACAAAGGCGCTAGACGGATCTGAACCCACCCTCCCTCTGCTTGGGAAGCGGTAGGTCAAACCTAACCTAGCCTAAACCATGGCTTAATAAGACTGGGAAATATAAATTTGGTATATTTTGTCATAAGTTAATGCCAGTATGTCAGAATATGATTTTTACTATTTTTGAACGCGTTGCCAATAATGACACTAATCTGTACGTTAAGTATTTACATACACACCTACTCATCTCCCACCGGTGTAGGCAGATACCATGGACCTCCACCTGCTACATTCTTGACAAACCGTCTCCGCCTCCTCCAGATCCTTCAGTCTCTTCGGACATGCCAGTTTATTCTTGGTTCTTTTAAGCCAGCCTTTTATAAGGACATAATGCCCAATCTGATCGAGATATGTACGCAGGTCTACCTCTCCCACGCCTCCGTCTATATTCGCTCTATAGCTGATTGTGTGCCGTCAATCTATCAACATTCATTCTTTCTTCATGATCAAACCATCGAAGCATCCCCCTCTCTATCCTGGTCACTACGTCATCTTTTTTACTACACTGTTCAGCATTCAATTGTTAAGACTAAATACCGTCAAGCATTTAAATGTTACAATATGACAAGCATTTAATGTTAAAACATACAGACAAATTTACAGACCTAATATTTTCTTTACTGTAGGAAAAATTCTCTAGGGATGAGGAAAGCAGTTAGCGTTTGTTTATCGCTTTTCGGGGAGCTTTGCCCAGTTAGGGTCTTACAAATAGTCCCAAGTAAATAATGTGTACATTACATATTTACCGAGATAAAGCTAACGATGGTCCTGAAGTTCGACCTTTATGTTGTAGAATTACGGACAAATTTTGGAATTAGGAACTAGTGATTGGAATCTAATTCATCTTCAAAGATTGTTTGTTTAATACACCTTATTTTAAAGTGGAAAAACCGTAACTTACACACACAATAAGTACAAAGGTAAACTGTGATGTTATGAATAATGAGGAAGGAAGTTTTTTATTACATTTTATTTTAAAAGGAAAAGACTCATGATAATAGAAACATAAAAACACACACTTATACAAACAATTCTTTATGTGTCTAATTTGGCCGATGATGCAAGAAAAATGAAGTTCATTTGTATAAATTGAAATTCGATAGCGAAACAAAAGATAAGTATAAAGAAAAAAAGGTAAGATATGCCTTTTACATTTTCTAGACGTACAAGTCAAAGTACTCGGATAACTGAAAAAGAATATCAATATCAACGATTATTTTATTTTCCAAATTGTCTGAAAGCTGATTTCATTTGCTTCAGTCATTTGTCACTAAATTATTTTTAGTTGATATGCATAAATATAAAATATTCCACTCCATTTCTCATAATAACCATACGGCATAATTTAAGAGCGATGCCACGCGATGCGTTGCGTCGGCGTTACGACGCCTAAGCCGCCCATGACGCTGCGTCGTACTACGCGTAAATTAAGAATTATCAGCCACATGATACAGTGTGCGGCGACGGAACACTTGCCCTTATAACAAGGGGCCAAGAGACGAAGCAGGTATGGTTCTTGCGATGCGTAAGCAAGCGATGCTCGTGTGACACTCGGTACGTTGAAACCAAAGCGTTGCGACACAACGTGCCGGCAGGCCCATGTGGCATCGCTCTACATACAGGAATGTACAGGTTAATAAAAATATGTAAAAGATGAGCAATATCTGTAGGCGTCACTGAATAAGTACGGACTCATATGAGTGGGTTTACAACGCCTGGACAAGGAAAATGCTCATCTATTAAATCTGATCTGTGTAAAAATATTCACTTATCCAAATATAAACACAGAAACTCAGTTTTATAACCTTTAAGGTATTCAACAACATCGTACACAACATACTCTGTAATATTTATGAAAAACAAATGGAATGTTTTTGGGGAAGTTAAATATTAAAAACATTAGGGCCTTATTACGTTTTATCTTTCATTGCCAGCGTCCATAGATTAGAGATCGCGCTGGCAGATATAATGCGCAAAAATTCTGTTCCAAGTTTTTCAATGGCATAGAGTTAAAAAAATACATAGGTATTCCTCATTTCGTTGGTGTACTTTACTGTTAAACAATGTAGCTAGGCTTATTTAAAAAGAACCTTAGCTATAGTAGCAGTAGAGCTCCTTGTAAAAGAGTTCGTCCAGGGAAGTACCGCCATCTTACCTATTGTTGCCGCTAAGCAGTAATGTGAGCATTACTGCGTTCCGGTTTTGAAGAATAAGGGAGTCGGTGAAATTACATGGATTTTGGCACATAGGACTTGTCAACTTATGTCTCAGGGTGACGGGTGCAGTGGCAACGCCCCTCAGATCTTTGTAATTTAAAGCTCTGAGTGGCACTGCAACTGCTATGGACAGGCGTGTCGTTTACCAGCAGGCGCACGGTTTGTTGGTCCCGTCACTTGGTATCATAAAGAAAAACCGTAGTTTACAAACCTTTCCTGATGTATACAACTTTATCTAAGATGTTAGAATTCAATCAACCCAAATTCAATTCTACTTACATAAGCAAATATCCTCGCGGATATAACGTTTACATTTATTACTGGTACAAAAAAAACTGCTCAAAATCAATAAGGCACAACAATAAAACATTAACGGGCTGACGGTCGAGGAAGATCTTACATTCAGCTGTTTATATTAAATGTGGTGAACGACTTAAAGAGTTTTGTTTAGAAAACAAAGCCTCGGCCTAAACCGTGGTATCTTCTTATCAAAATATAAAACGTAAGGCTAATCGGAAATGAAACATTTTTTCGGATCTAAACAACGTATATTTGTTTCTTTTTCAAACGATCCAACAAACCGACTTTACGTGTCAGGAAACGTTGGCTTGTTTGAAAAAATACACGAATTAGATCCGAAAGAATAGTTTTATTTCCTATAAGTTTCAATTGAGAATACCTAAAAAGCATTCGATATAACATAATATATTTCGCAATATGTATTCAAATACCGCATGATGATACCCTAGAACCTCTTTGATAGTACGACCAGAAAATTAATAACTTCAGGTGTTACTTTTTTTATAATGCTCAGTAATGGGACGAACCAGTCGTGTACCTGGTGGTAAGTGACATCCCTGTCCCTAACAATTGCAATGCCACTCAGAACTTCAAATCACAATGATCTGAAGGGTACTGCAACTGCCCCCGACACCTTAAGACATAAGTTGAGAAGTTCCATGTGCCCGTAAATTCACCAGTACCCTTACCCTAAAAACCGGAACGGCAGAAATAGGTACTTCCCTAGGCAAATTCTTTCACAAGGAGCTCCACTGCTACGCGTAAAAAACCGGTGATAGGTAATGGTTGGACTTTTTTCTTTTTTTTACCGCCTCTCTCAGGTTGCACATCTGAGTATCCGGAATTTTTGTACAAAATTTCATTTCAATTTTACCTTGAGCTTTTCGGGGAAATACATCGTGAAGAAGCCTACACACATTTTAAAGCAATTTAGTTGATATCTGTGAAGATCCCAAATAGCATTGTGTACACTAATAAACAAACTATAGCCCAAGTATCCACCAGGCCTCATTGTAAGAGGACGCCGGTGCCCAGCAGTTTTTTTATAATAATAACGCACACACTCCACATAGCCCCGCACTAGGGAAACCCTGTGTCGCGGGTGCCATGGACACACACATAGACAACCACAAATTACACCCAAACTAACGAGAGAAATAATTGTAGGCCATACAACTATTTCTCTCGGCCCGGGAATCGAACCTGGGACCTCTGCGTGGCAGTCCGGCATGGTAACCATTCGGCCACGGAGGCAGTTAAGTGGGACTACATATAGGCAAACTTTAAAAAATATAGTGAAACAAAAACTTTTTATACAACTTTTAGTAGGCTTACTATATAGCTTCTGCGTACTTTGTTGACAAAAATCCCTGGTAGTGACCATATTATTCTCGATGTTTGAAATAAATATGAATGTTTATTCACAAAGAGCAATCCTTAGCGTTTTTTGCTCACTCTTCTCAAGGGAATGTGTCTTAAGAATAAGTGAATGAATGATTGAATTTACGTGTAATTTGTTTACCTATGAAATAAAGATATTTTCTTTTGACATTTTTATTTTTATTATAGGTCTTACTTTACGGATATTCATGTTAATACGAACACAATATTTTACAGTTAAATTGGCTTTAAATAATAATAATTTGTTTCAACCGAGTGCGGCAAACAAAACGGTTTTTAATAATATTCATACTTTTTTGTTCACCATTGCTAGGTTTGGCTACAAGAGATCTCTTCTAGAGATAAGCTCACCTCTGTATATTATGTCCTTTGTAACTAGTGTTTTTATTGTCTTTTTTTGTGCAAAGAAATAATTATCTATTTCATTTACAGCATATTTTGTCGTCTGGAAAGGTTGAATTTCAAACTAGGCTAACCCTGTACTTTAGGTCACCAGACCTATAGATGACTAATACGACTACTGTATCATTCATAACAATAATAATAAAGCACACAGTCATAGCCCCGCACTAGGGAAACCCTGGGTCGCGGGTGCCACAAATACACACATAAACAACAACAAATTACATTCAAACTCGAGAGAAATAGATGTAGGCCATACAAATATTTCTCTCGGTCCGGGAATCGAAAAATCGAAAATCTAAAGGTTACTAACTAAAGTAATTTGGCTGCTAAAGACTAAATAACGCTGAGTACTAAAACAAAACTACTTTATCTCATTTGTGTTATATGCAAGTAATCAAAAAGTATGAAGTGTGGACGTAGTAGCGTACAAAAGTTAGTAATGCAATCATAGGGTAATAATATTTAGGTTAGTTTTCTCTACCTAATTTTCGTGCCAATTTTTTTTATAATCTATAGGTTTTTGATGAAACCAAGAGACGTGACGAACAAATCTTGCGCCTGGTGTTAGAGACACGCCAGTCCACAGCAGTTGCAATACCACTCCGAGCTTTAAATCGCAAAGATCTGAGGGACACCGCTACTGCGCCCGTCACCTGAGACATAAGTAGACAAGTCCGATGTGCATGTAATTTCATCAGCACCCTTATCCGGAACGCGGTATTACTTATATTACTGCTTGGCGGCAAAAATAGTTATGGTGGCAGACTGACAGTACTTCCCTGGACGAACTCTTTCACAAGGAGCTCTACTGCGACTACTACAATATTATCATGAAATATCATTTAGTATTCGAATGCAGTAACCTGAAATATCATTAAGTAATAAAAATTGCCACCAAAATCAGATAGAAAGAAACTAACCTGAAAATTACCTAATAGTTTCTTACTCATACAAAGAAGAACGTTGGTCGGTAAACACGCGTCGTCATAGTCATAGTAACAACTATCTACAAAATTTACCTATTCATTAAGCTTTGTTTAAATAAGCTTTTTTCGTAATAAAAATCATAATGACGCCATATTTGTTTTTACATTTATTTCATTTTGAATAGTAATGAAAATGTATGGTTTTTACCATCAAGTAAATTGTGATAAAAGTAAAGTAGGTTTTAGGCTGATTTACATTCTCAAATCATACATTTTTTTATAATTAAAGTAACGGAACGTAAATACGTACGCGCACGGTTCCGTATTGTGTATGCGTAGTGAAAATGGCGACGCCAGAAATTGACAAATAAATTTTATAAACAAAACACCTTTAAATATAAACCTGTAGTTCCCAGGTCGTGGAAGCTTGCAAACGTGCAACTTGTACCGAAAAAGGGAAGCAGAGCTGCCTCTATTCTCTGTCAACTATAGACCTATCTCTGTCACTTCCATACTCTACAAGACTACGGAACGTGTACTCAACAACCGTCTCCAGTCGTACCTTGAAGACAACGACCTCCTCAGCGATCGCCATACGGATTCCGACGAGGGTGATCAACTGGGGATCTTCTTGTATGCCTATCACATATGGAACGAAGCTATAGTAAAGCAAGGTGAAGCACTTGCAGTGTCTTTGGATATCTCTAAAGCCTTTGACAGGGTCTGGCACGAAAGCCTTTTAAGCAAGCTTCCAAGTTATGGGCTACCCACTGACCTTTGCAATTCAATCTCGGATTTCTTGAGCGAACGTTCGATTCGAGTGGTCTTAGAAGGTTACTCTTCCGAACATATGGCGATAGATTCCTCAGAGTTCCGTACTGTCTGCAACTCTCTTTCTGCTGCATATCAATGATTTGTTAATTCCAGGTACTTTTGCGTATGCTGATGACAACACAGTTGTAGATAGGTACTGGACCAATGCTAGGGTCAGTGGAGAGGAAATCCAGTCTTGTCGCGAGTCCATGGTTAGCCGTTTCGATTTGACACTCAAGGCAGTCTCCGATTGGGGCGATGCCAATCTTGTCAAATTTAACGCTACCTAAACGCAAGGATGTCTATTCTCCACAAAACGGAGTCCCTCACTCCGACTTTCCGTGATATATCCATACCGATAGTCGACTGTCTCCAACTACTTGGAATGGACCTGTCGTCCAATTTGTACTTCAGCAGATACATTAAATCCATGGCCAAATATGCAGCAAGGAAGCTTGGGATCCTTTCCAGGGTGAGGCGTTACTTCACACCGGGATAGTTGCTTCAGCTGTACCACGCATAAGTTCGGTTGTACATGGAGTATTGCTGCCACCTTTAGGATGGCTCTGCTACGTACTGGGCACATTGGATTCAACTGACAACCGTGCTAAGAAGCTTATAGGTGACTCGTAATTAGTGCAAGCGAAGCAGCAGAGCCTTGAATACCGCCGTAAAGTTACCAGCTTATCGGTTTTTACAGGATATGTCACGGAGAGTGTGCGATGGAATTACACGATTTAATTCCGCTTTCCCCTTTCCAGACAGGGACTAGGCGTAGGCTTGGGTTCCACCTCTATGTTATGGATATTCCAAAGATTCGCACGAAGCGTTACGCTTCCACACTTATATGGCGAACGGCTATGGAGTGGAATTCCCTGCCTGCAGACTTGTTCCCTGAATGTTATATGTTTGGGGAGCATTTTAAAGTACAGAGTCCGCTCGGAGAGGTGTCGGAAATGGTCTCAGATGAGGAACGTCATTCTGATAGGCAGGTTAGTTTCTCTTTCAAAGAGGTGGACCGCATTACTAAAACCATGACGAGAGGAAAGTCACCGGGACATGATGGTCTAAGTATTGAGCATTTTCTACACGCTGGAGCGCACCTGCCCCGTGTGCCTAAGATGCTCTTTAACCTGTGTATTAGTCATTGCTACCTTCCTAACAACCTTATGAAAACAATTGTTGTGCCCATTGTAAAAAATAAAACGGGGGATGTCTCCGATAAATCCAATTACAGACCGTTATCGTTGGCAACTGTAGTGGCTAAAGTGTTGGATGAACTGCTGGGCGGGGTGTTAAAGAAGCACATTATAATCCAGGAGGAGTTTGGCTTTAAACCTAATTTGTCTACAGAAAGTGCTATTTTTGCTTGAAAGATACCATCCAGTACTACACTGAAAGGCAAACGCCTGTTTTTGCCGGTTTTTTGGATTTATCGAAGGCTTTCCAATTGGTCTCGTACAATATCCTTTGCAGCAAAATGCAAAAGAGCACAAGTACGCCGGGGGAGGCGATCGACTTGCTCCATTTTCAAGTGAGAAGGGCAGGTGCGCTCTCGGACATATACAAATTGGAGTGTGGGGTGAGACAGGGAGGACTTAGCTCGCCTAGGTTATTCAATTTGTACATGTACGAGCTGATCGTGGGACTCAGCAGAACGGGTATTGGATGCTCAATCGGTGGCACTACAGTCAATAATATAAGTTACGCGGATGATATGGTGCTGCTGTGCCCTTCGATCAGTGCGCTCGCTAGGCTGTAAAAAAATTGTGAGGATTATGCGTGTCACATGGCTTAAGGTACAATACTAATAAAAGTGAGTTGTTAGTATTTAAGGCTGGTAACAAAGCCCTCCTATTAATCCCAACTGTGCAACTGTGTGGAACTCATCTCAAACGAGTGACACGATTTAAGTACCTTGGTCACTGGGTCACCGAGAACCTCTGTGATGGTGTAGATATAGAGAGAGAGCGCAGGACATTGGCTGTACGGTGTAATATCTTGTCCCGCAGGTTTGCGCGCTGCAAAAAAAACTGCCTCCGTGGCCGAATGGTTACCACGACGGACTGCCACGCAGAGGTCCCAGGTTCGATTCCCGGGTCGGGAGAAATATTTGTATGGCCTACATTTATTTCTCTCGTGAGTTTGGGTGTAATTTGTGGTTTTCTATGTATGTGTCCATGGCACCCGCGATACAGGGTTTTCCCTAGTGCGGGGCTATGTTCAGTGTGTGCGTTATTATTAAAAAAAAAGTTATTATTATTATTATTATTGATGGGGAGGTTGTTGGAACTGCCACGATTTAGTAGCACATCAGGCATGTTCGCGGAGGCGCATATTGACAGTTTTAGTGCGATAATACGCAAGAGAACTGCCTCACTGATGCGTCGCGTGCGTGACTGTTCCAACAGCCCCATATGGTTGATTTGGGAGTACCCTGCTTGCGACACGTGGAAGCACTGGAACCAAGTTCGTATGGGTTCCAGAGGCCCGATTTATAATATAATGTAACTTTTTCAGTTTAATTCAATTTATAGTTTGATTTTCGGAGGTGATTCAATTGTATGTTATAATAATTTTCATTACTAACATAGTATATAAGTGTAGATATTTGTAAGTAACATCTATGGACATGGTCTGAAATAATTTGAATTTAAATTATAACTTGAGCCTTTTCAAGGCGAAAGTGAATAGGCATTATTTAGGTGTGCATGCTCCATCGTCGACCTCATCGTCACTTTCCATCAGGTGAGATAATAATAATAATAAT